AGTGTGTGTATACTTTGCAAGTCATAGTATGAAAGAAAAGAAAGGGGAAGAGAGTGTGAGTTAGACAGTGTGTTTGTGCATACTCATGTTTTAATGTATCCTTAAATGCCTTTTATAGAATGCTGAAACATAATGTATTATAATTAAAATTTATAATCTAGAAGTTTCTGGTTATTTCTTATGCTTTAGCATCATATTTGGTGATTGCTACGTTGTTTATGCTTTGCACGCTTGCACACTGTTGTGTCTTTTTTCCTTTAAATTAATTTTCTTTGCATGGTCGGAGACACTTACACTAGTATTTTTGCTGGAAACATAAATAACATCACAGGACAGTTTCCTCAAGAAAACCTGTCCTCAACCTGAATGTTTTACGACAATTAAACTTTCCAGGACTTTCTTAAATCAGCTGTTTTAAAAGTACAGAAAAAGTCAGGACATTTATTTGGCAGACTCAAATAAGGAACTTCAGATTTGTATGTATACAGAGCCAATTTATACATTTTAGTGCTTGTTTACATGTAACAAAGAATTAAAGGCTTAATGCGGCTCTATCAGTGATGGGGGGGGGGGGGGGGGGAAATAGGTCAACTAGAAGCAGGCAGGCAGAGTGGAAAAGAGGGTGGGAGGGAGGGTGTGAGGGAGAGGGGCATTTCTCAGCAACAGACTGCCATACAGTATATAGACTATTCATGAATAAGCTCTGTGTAAGCCTTGGGCACTGCTGTGGCCCCGTTACTATGGCGTCCATGATGAGGGGCCGAGGAATGTGGCCTTACTGGGCGACGGGGATGGAGAGGGAGGGAGGAGATCTGGAGAGGGGTCTTTGCTTTGGACTACTTTAGTCACTGGTCACATCTCCACCTTTTAGCCCAAGCACAGCCTCTGTCGCTTTCTTCTTCTCCCTCTGCTCTCTCTGTCTCTCATTGTCCCTCTAAGCTCCATTCATCTTCACACGTCCTGTCTCTCCCTGACTCTGTCACTCCGGCTCTCTCTGTCTGCGTCTTTCTCTCTGTCTTTCTCTGACCGTGTTACTGTCCCTTCATCCTCACCTGCTCTCTCTTTCATCTCAGATTTCACACCTGACTCCCTTCACAGCACATTTGTCTATTGGCAGTGTGTGTGTGTGTGTGTGTGTGTGTGTGTGTGTGTGTGTGTGTGTGTGTGTGTGTGTGTGTGTGTGGTGTTGTGGCTATACTTCCTGCTGCTTCACCATCTGTTGCTCCTGTCAGCTGACTGGATGAACCCGTGCTTCTGACGCCTCTGACCTGCCTGTCTGGCACGTGTGTGTATCGCTGTACATAAAAACCACTGTCTGCTTAAAAACCACAGCATTTCAACCTCTTCTGGTCTTTTAGTATCATTGTGAGTCACGCCTAGACGGGAAACAGCGGTGACATCTCTCTGCAAGCCTTTAACTGTGGCCTTTCCCAGTCGAGTGAAACATGCGGCATTTATACAGGTGTTGTCGGGGGTTGATGTTGCAAGCATATGACGCAGAGACCCGACGAGGTATAAGAATAGAGAGTGAAAGAGAAAGACAGAGAGAAAAAGGGAAAAGTTCAAAGACAGAAAACATGTGAAAAGCCACTTCTCTCTCCATTCTCCTTCCCACTCAGTTCTGTCTGCCTGTTCTATATATGTGTATGTGTATGTGAGTGAGTGAGTGAGTGAGTGAGTGAGTGAGTGAGTGAGTGTGTGTGTGATAGTCAGTGTGTCTGCACCATAGTCAGTGTGCCTAAGAGCAGCTGAGTGCAAGAGCAAGATCTCACCCCTGAAACCCCCTTATACACAAAAAAACACAATCCCCCTATCACCACCACCAGAGCCAGCTGACCTACTTCCTGTCTAGCCAGTCTAGTGGTTGACTGTACACTCGTCTGAGATAGTGTGTGTGGAGGGTGCAGTGCATTAGAGGTGGGGGTTGGAGGTATCATGATAAGTCAAAATACAAGAAGTAAGATGGTAACAGAAAAGGAACGGTATTGAAGAGATGATGAAGCAGTGTGATGCTGTAGATAGGTCCTGACTGTTGAGGGTGTAACACTTTTCTCAAGACTTCTGTGGTAAACACGTTCTCACTTTTCCCTAGAATTTTACATACTTCTTCATGATACCACTTAGAAAAGCTACATTATTACACTGTGCTTGTACACACTAGCTTGGTCGGGAAAAAAAACATCTGTTCTATTGGGTTTGGGGTTGTTCCAACTCTTGACTCGTTTTCTCTGAGGGAAATATTCAAACACAATATTGATACATGTTTTTATGGCTGCTCAATTTCATCAAATGGAAATATCTGTGGGAATAAAGTTATGGGGTTACACAAAACTTGGCTACACGGCAAAAGTTTGAAACAAGTGACCCGTCAGCAGCTCTGAGGGGTTTAAGAAGTTAAAGACTTAATGAAAGTCTCATTCGTCTAATCATATCATGTTCTAACTAACCATAAGGTTCTTTGATATGTCATATTTGAGAAATACTCACTATCCTAGCTGAAGTGTATAAGATATTCTCTCGCTCTAGTGCTCAACACCGGAGCCCCCCAGGGCTGTGTGCTTAGCCCCCTCCTGTTCACACTGTACACCCATGACTGCATCCCCCAACATGGAGTGAACTCTGTTGTGAAGTTTGCGGATGACACCACCATCATCAGCCGGATTTCAAACAATGATGAGACTTCATACCGGGAGGAAATTGATAATCTTGTAGAGTGGTGCTCAGAGAACAACCTACTGCTCAACATCAGCAAAACTAAGGAGCTGATTGTGGATTTTAGGAAGAAGGAGACAAAGACACACACTCCTGTCTACATTAGTGGTGCTGAGGTGGAGCAGGTGAATAGTTTCAGGTTCCTGGGAATCAGCATCACAGAAAACCTGACATGGTCATCTCACATCTCCACGCTGGTGAAGAAATTCCCATGCCAAGTTCATGTCAGCTTTTACAGAGGAGCAAAAGGACCAGAGGGCTCTGCATCGGGTGACTAAAACTGCTCAAAAGATCATTGGTACCCATCTCCTGAGCATCAGTGACATATGTGAGGTGAGGTGTGTACGCAGAGCCCAAAGGATACTAAAGGACAGTACCCATCCCAGCCACAGCCTGTTCACCCTGCTGCCTTCTGGGAAGAGATATAGAAGTTTCTGCTGTCACACCACCACACTGCAGAGCAGCTTTTTCCCCAAAGCTATCAGACTCTTAAACTCTAGTTCATCCTCAGCACTGTTTACCATTTTTTTTATAATTGATTCTGTATTAATGTATATTATCTGCTGTGTAGCAGAAGGGAGTTACAAAACACAATTTCACTCTATAACTTACCTACCTCTAAAACCTACCTACCTACAAATAGATGACCACACATTTTAAAAGCAAATGTGTCCTTGTCGCTGCCTCTTAGTCATAGTGAGAGACATGCGCTTGACATCACTCTTCTGAAAAAACAGGACATGCACAGGCTGACTCCCAATGCACAGACACTTCCCTCCTCTTCCTCATTCATCTTCATCTCTCCTCTATCTGTCTCATTCTCCCTCTCCTACCCTTCTTCTTTCTTGTGTTCCTTTCCATTCTACCTCTAATTGTGCCCTCCCCCACTGGTGAAAACACGCTATGCTCTAGGTGTGAACCTCAAAAGCAGCATTTGCTGTTGACACTTTATTCAGCTCCGCTGTGAACATTCCTCTTCATGCAGGCAGGGCAGGGAGGTGGGCACCGAGGGATAATGCTATAAGACAGAGCGGCTGGGAGATGGACAGGGAGGTGCATTCAGTCAATCAGACAAACAAAATGCAGTAAAAGCAGGCGATAAAACTGAACAGCAACCCGGTGGAGGAGCTGTGACTGAAGCGGAGATAAGCAAACAGACATGAATAGACAGAAAGAGACATGCAAACATAGACATTATAAAGGGTATAAAATCTGACATATGGGCACAATCAAGCAGACAAGGAAACAGGTAAATACAGGCATGCAGACAACAACTGCATTACTGTGTGTGATGTGGTTTCCTTTCTTAGAGTAGCAAACAGGTCTTTAGCTAAAGAGCTTTTTTCATGTGCAGCATCCCTTACAGCTGACTATCAGCCTGGCAGACTCCCATTAGAATACACACACACACACACACACACACACACACACGCACGCACACACTCAGAATAACACACACCATGCCCAGCCAGGCGAAAAACATGGGTATCCATGCACACAACCACAGGACGCTGTTTGTGTGTGGGTCTGTCTGTGTGTGTGAGTGTGTTGTGTTTTGCAGCACACACTGGATGAACAAAAGAACTGGCTATTGCAGCATGCACAGCTTCAGCTTTGATGAAGAGTGGGCTACACTGACCACAGGTAGGTTGGCACACTCTCTCCCTTTCTTTCTCTCTCTCTCTCTCTCTCTCTCTCTCTCTCTCTCACGCACACACACACATAGTAAATAACTTCAAAAACAGGCAGAGGAGAAACAGTTTACCATTAACGGTGGAGAATGTTGTCGAAATAACTATTAGAACCCCAAGGGAAGGAGCAGTTTCTGTCCCACTCTATAAATACACAGGCCAAGAGAATCAGCAGTGTGGTTAAATTCCACTGCTGTCTGAATCAAGGCTGATCCCCCCCAAATATCCAGGTCAGCAGAATCCAAGCTACAACCTCAACTCAGCATCACACACACCATCAACCTTCCTGTTTTTAACTTGGATGAAAATAAGACTTCAGACGCGCGGGGCAGCTGTTTATAGTTAACGCCATGGATTTAGATAAAATTATCTATAATTTGACACATTGTGGCGGGCCGGCGACCCGTCTACCACACATCCGCCTCTGGAAGTCTCTTCTGCTCTCCTGCCGGTTGCTATTCAGGGAGCGCTGTCAGGTACAAGAGAAGGAGAAACGCACGCGCGTGTGCGCGTGTACACGACACACACACACACACACATACACACACACCAGTTTCTCTCAGATGAAGCTATTTGAAAAATGCCACAACGTCTTACCCTCAACGCGGACAGGTCGATTTCGTCCAGACTCCGAGCTGGAGAGTCGCTCGCCATGATGGAGGGCACAAAAAGCCGCTCTCAGGTATCCTGAAACAGCCTTTGCTATCACGACTGTGCTCTCTGCTGTCCCCCTCTGTCCTGCACAGTGATTCTCTCAGCGATCGACAAAATAATAGCTGTCTCCTTATGCCCAGCAGCGGGACGTGCCTCGAGCCGGGAGCGCACCTAAAGCGCAAACTCGGAGGAGATGGGAAGCAAGAGCGCAGAGTGCATCTGCACCTCCAGGTCCATGAATACGGGATGGAGACCGTACAGAGAAAGGTGAAGCTCCGTGGGGAGTGGATTACTGCTCGTCCTGGAGCCGCTGCTGTGACAGCCAGTGAATATACAGAGGAAGAGAGGTGGAGCGCAATTCCTACTGCCTCAGCAAACCACGCCTGTTACTGGGCGGGGTTTGGTGAAGCAGTAGGGACTCCCTAACTTTCTTATTTTCAACAACCCTCATAACATACCTACTATAGATCAGCAGTGTTTTATTTAATGATGTTTATATATCACCCTGTATGTTATTTTATTAAAATACATAAGGACGTTTATTTTTTATTTTATTTATTCAGATCATCTGGGACAGGCCTGCTTTCTGTCTCCAGAGTCAAAACTAAACATGGAGAAGCAGCGTTCAGTTTTTATGCTCCATATAACAAACTCCCAGAAAACTGCAGGTCTGCTGAAACTCTCAGTTCTTTTAAATCAGGGCCACACATGACATTTTACAGCTGGTTTCACAGGCTGAAGAGAATTCCCTATGAATGGTAAACTGAACTTCACATGTAAAATTAAAGGTGTGACCCTTTAACTGCTCCCCACCTGATTAAATAATATTCTGTAAAAGATAAGATTCCTATTCTCATTATGATCAAAGAACTGACACTTGATACGAGTGGAAGCAATGGTTGAAATATTCTTTCTTTTCCAATGATAAGAAGTATGGAGGACCGATCCTGACACAGTCAGAAATAAATAAATGCTCAATAAATAAATAAGCATCCAATTAAATACACAAAAAATAAAGTAAATAAATAAATCTAGGTAGTAATTAAATTATATAAGGAGACATAAATGTATATATATTAATTAGTTTCTTTACTTATTCACCTTTGTAATAATTACCTTATTTATTTATTCTCCGTTATAGTCTTCAACTTTATTTATTAATTACTTATTTTTTAAATGTATTTCTTTATGTGTATTTTAATATTTTTGTCTGTTTTATTCTTCCTTTGTATTTTTTTACCTTATTTATTTTCACCCATGGTATTTATTTCTGCCTGTCCTTTTTACATTTCTGTATGCATTTCTGCCTCATTATGCAAATGTGGAGGGGCTGTGTCTCAAGGGGTCAACTTCTGCCCATTGGCCTGCAGACATCAACAAGCTGCTCTTCACACAGTCAGATGGCTTCCTTCAGTGCGCTGAGGTGTTTAGCAACTCTGAAGACAATACTACCAGCCATGTCTTCCTTCTCTTTTAAACGTAGACGCTCCGACAGACAGTGCTTTCAGCATGCATGGACACAGAACTGCGGTACAAACAGAGTTGCTAAACACCTCAGCGCACTGAAGGAAGCCATCTGACTGTGTGAAGAGCAGCTTGTTGATGTCTGCAGGCCAATGGGCAGAAGTTGACCCCTTGAGACACAGCCCCTCCACATTTGCATAATGAGGCAGAAATGCATACAGAAATGTAAAAAGGACAGGCAGAAATAAATACCATGGGAGAAAATACAGTAAATAAGGTAAAAAAAAATACAAAGGAAGAATAAAACAGACAATAATATAAATAATAAATAATAATAATAATAAATAAAGTTGAAGATTATAACAGAGAATAAATAAATAAGGTAATTATAACAAAGGTGAATAAGTAAAGACACTAATTAAAATATATACATTTATGTCTCCTTGTATAATTTAATTACTACCAAGATTTATTTATTTACTTTATTTTTTTGTGTATTTAATTGGATGCTTATTTATTTATTGAGCATTTATTTATTTCTGTATTTATTTCTGACTGTGTTATGCTCGGTCCTCCATAAAGAAGAAGCTTTTGAGGGTTTCTGGACTCTTAATCCCACTTTAGGAGCCACTAAAGTTGCCTAAATGCGAGCAGTGAGAGACCATAGTTGTTAACTGAGTGGATTTACCTGTTGCATAGGAATACATGTCTATAACACATAAGACGCACATACATTAAGAATCCATTTACAATTATTCCCATAATTTATGGATATTCAAAGTCTTCAGTTCCTGTGGGAAATAGTGTGTCTGGTGCTGCACCTTGTAAAACAGTTTGCCAAATACATGTCAACTGCCAACTAAGACACCTATTGAACACCTAAAGGTGTTTTCTCTTACATATTTCCTCATATCCCACATCTACAAGAGAGTTCTAATGAATCAAGTCCACTGTTGTTTTTATGCTTGTGGTTTAATCCAATAGGGTTGCGCAGGTGTGAGTAATGTTCCATTGAAGTCATTCTTGAATTTCCAGTTCTCATTTATGTAAGCCTTTTTTATGTTCCAATTAATTTCCACTAAGAGATCCCCTGAGCATTAACTGTATAACTGCCGCGTTCCACATAAATAACGTACATCAGTCTTGTGATTCACAACAATGGGGCAAAGTGAAAATCAACTGCAGCAACCTATGTTAATTGCCACTGACAGTGGATTTCGTGGGAATCAACGGCTTCATACTTGTTTGAAATTGCCCGTTGTGTGCAAAACAAATACACTCAAGTCTCAAGGATAAATATATGTTTTCCTGAAAATAAATGGAAGCCAAACTTTGACAACACCAATTATTTTCCTCTTTCTTCCTTTTTGTTCTAAATTTATGATTGATTTTTTTTATGTTTTTCAAACTAATCAAAGATGGGAGCAGGAAGTAATATCTTTATCTCTAATATCTTTTTATCTTAATTTATTAACAATAAGATGGATTTAGATACATAAAACAGAAAATAAATCTTGATTTTGATGATCATAAGATTTGTTCACTGCCATCTGATCAGACTATAAACAATTTCTTTGTTTGGACAGAAAGGTTTATGTTGGGGTTGTATTTATTTATCTTTAAGAGAGTGATGTAGATATGAGTTGTCATGAATGCAAAATATCAAATTGATAAAATGGTTGATACCTGACAGCCTCAAACTGGTACAGCCTTGCTGTATGAGTAGCTTCATTCACACATTGACACCAATATACTCCTGACATTATTTCCATGGGATAAAAAAAAATAATAATAATTTATTTGTTAGCCATTAAAATTATGACTTAAATTTTGTTAAATAAACAGATAGAAATTAGAAATACTTTCAACCATACAAAGATGATTTTGTACATAAACAGAGTAAAAGCAAGTCCAATTTGAGGCAAAGGGGTTCAGATATACAGTATATGGATACGATAAAGAAACCAGGGTTTAGTGCCAAATCCACAACCATTCATACATTTCAAAAATTAAATGTTTCAAAAATGTTAAATGAGTCATATTCCATAAATAATGCAATGACAAATACAGCGGGTAAACGATACAGACAATCTTGTCAAAATTAATCAAAGAATTTAAACGCAAAACTGTTTGAATATATTGTCTTTGTAGACACAAAGATTGTAATGTTTCCAAACATTATCACTTCAACATTCATCAATAGTCTGGTCCCATGTTTTACATTACAAAAAATAAAGTGTATTGAGAGTGGAATTATTTCTACTCGGAGAAAAAAGCTCCACCAAGAAAACAGATGGAACTGCCAGGAAACTCAAAACATAACTGCCAGGAAACACGAAACGTAACAAGTGATTTCAAACGGTATTGCCTCTGGTATCAGTTGCATGCTATATGGAAAATATAGTATTTATTTCATTGTTTACACTGTTTCAAAGACTATTTCTGCACTCAATAGAACATTATCACCATAGCACAGAGAAATAGTGGGAGAACTGAAAGGCCTATCTTGGACTGCTGAATAACTCTACACAAACCCGATATTTTAGAGGCTAGCACCATCTGTTGAGCAAAGAGGAAATTACTTCTTTGAATTTGTGTGCCGATTGTCTCATTCACCCTTTGACGTTGGCTGCTGGCACAATCGTTTTACACTACTTACACAGCCATAATAACGTTCTACTCACCCTTCTGAACACAGTATGATATAACTGAGTTGAATCAGCTTTTGTACCTGGGTCCGCCCAACACAGTTCATTTTGATTTCAGCAGGAAAGTTCAGTCCTCATGTCTGACAATTATCTATCACAAAGCACGTTTGACAGGACATACAATGTCTCTGAGGGGTTTGGTACATGCATTATAGCAATCGTGTTAACAAGATTTGAGCACAGTTAGTAAATCATGCACCACTGCTGAATCAGTAAAATTATCTGTGCATTCACTGCACAGTAGAGCAATCACATGTTTTGGATTTTGTTTGTTTTTTTAACAGTAAAGATCCTCAAGATGCAGCTGAGATAACTACCTTTGAAACTCGTCTAAAGCAGCTAAACGACTCTTTTGTGAGCTCATAAACAGCATACATAACACTAATGCACCTTACAAGTATACATCACAAACTCAGTAAACACATGCATTACCATCTCTGTGTATTTTGTTAGGAGCAGAATATTTGTTAGCGTCATTGTCAACAATTTTACTACCGCTGCGCCCTGGTCCCTTTAGAAATCCTCACTGTCTTTTGAGATTTTCCAATAATCTGAAGGTCAGAGCCAAGTTTAGTTCCCAAGACCCAAAGTTTATGTGCCTGTTTTCCACCTCCACAGCTTGAATGCGGTCACAATGCAGTCATAATTGTTGTCCTCAAGTGCCTACATAGAGGTCATCAAGTCTTTTTGATCTTCATACATATCCAAACTTGCCTCAAAAAGCTGTAACTTCTGTTTAGTGTTTTTTCAGCAGGAACAGATTTGAGAGATTTGTCAATGCCCATCAGTCATATCAGTCCAGAGGACACTCATGAAACTGCCTCTCATCTCTGGATGAAAGGTGATCTCTTGCAAATCCAATATTACACATTTGATGACAACCACAATCCAGATACTTCACTCAAGATGCTCAAGAAACAGTTCAATTCAGATGTGGAAGTGGCTGGCAGTGGTGGCACATCCTTTATGTCCAGATCTCCGTTGGGACCATGGATTCCTTCGTTCCAACAGAGGGCATGAGGTTCTGCTCAGACAAGAAGTCGAGAGGAAACTGGACCAGGAAGCCTCGGATTTTGCGCAACTCCTCCTGAGCACGGGCCAGCTCTTTCTGGGCCAAACCTGGTTTGGACTGATACTGCTCCAGCTCTGACATGTTCCTCACCAGAG